ATAACTTTTTCTACGATTTTTTTCCATCAGAAATATAAATTTTTCGACAGATTTATATCTGTAAAAAATTACTGACGGATATATCTGTCAAAAATATAATTTTTTTGACAGATTTGTATCCGTCAGAAATTTTCATTTTTTTTTGTAGTGATAGCATTACATCTAGAAGAGACAAAGCTATATTTTTGTAACTCTTACCAATTATATTCGTAAGGGTTGAGCCTGGAGAGGCTTGTGTAAGAATACTTAGTATTTGAGCTTGGAGAGACTTGTTGAAAGAATACTTGGATTTGAGCCTGTAGAGACTTGTTGAAAGAATACTTGAGTTTGAGCCAGAAGTGACTTGTGAAAGAATACTTGGGTTTGAGTTAGAAGTGACTTGTGAAAAAATATTTCGATTTAAGCCCGGAGATGCTTGTTAAAAGAATCACTAGTGGAAAAATAGGATACTACGTCACCCATTTTACGTCGGATATACAAAGACCCGACGTAATAAAAAAGCGGTTCGTAATTTTGTTAAATTATTTACGTCGGACCTCCAAGGGTCTGACGTAAATTTTAACATCTACGTTGGCTATACATTGTGTCCGACATAGATGTTAACATTTACGTCAAACCCAATTAAGGCCGACGTAAATAACCCACAAGATGCTTAAAAGAAGGTGTATTGCGCGCACTAGCTAGTTCAAAAATTTCATGGTTTCCTTCTCCTGCCTCCTCCTCAAATCGTGGTTGTCCTCCTCATCTGCACCTTATTCTATTTTTCTTCGCGTGACATGTTTTTCTTCTTCGAAGGGTTGCGTTTTTCTTCTATGAGGTAGCATCTTCTATCAAGTTTGTGTTTTCTGGGATGTTTTCTTTTGTAATAATGTTTGTGTTGCATTTCACGCGAGTTTTTGAAGCTGGAGAAGGAAGTGACCAAGTCCGGGTTTGGAGACGCACTCCTGGGTCTATCAAGCAGAACGGTCCGTTCTGCTTGCACTCAATTTTTTTTAATAAAATTTTTATAACTTTTTTACGTCGGACCTTGGCATGTATGACGTAAATTTATGTCAGTTTTCGCGCCCCGACGTAAATTTACGTCTCTCACTTCTACGTCAAAAGTTTTTTTGACGTAAAAACCCCTAAAATGACCGACGTAAAATGTGTATTATGTACTAGTGAATACTTGGTTTGAGCTAGAAATGGCTTGTGAAAGAATACTTGTATCTTGTTCAAGTTAGTGGAATTCAATCTGGTTAGATTGAGAATTAGACGTAGTCTTTAGGTTGGAGATGAACCAATATAAAATACTTGTGCCACATCATCTATTTCATTACAACATTTCATCTGATCAAGTTTCAACATTTTCATTTGGTTACTACATCACTATAAAAGTGAGAGATTTTTATATACACTATTCAACCCCCTTCTAGTGTATATATTTTTCTCCAGCACTAACATGTCTAATTACTTTCTTTCACGCTTCATGCTGTAAAGAATTGGGAGAATGGAGACTAGTGAAGTTCACTCAGATATTTGCGTTCTGTTCATCGAGGTAACGGGGAGAGAGTAGTCTTGCTCTAAGTGTGAGATAGTTTTTAGGTAGTGAAATTGACCTCCAAGCTTATCTTTATTATATGTGTGTGAAAGAGGGAAATCTCAATTATGATTTGTGGTGATTTGTTGCTAAGAATTGAATAATAAAGGATTAAAAAATTTTATGCTTATTAATAGCACAATTCGTTTAAAGTCAATATAAAGTTAATGTCATTAATTACATCTCTAAAATTAATAAATGTTAATAAATTTAGGCTAAAACCCTATTTTGGTCCCTTATAATCTTTTTTTGCGCAGAGTCCCAAACAAACAGGTACTTTCAAGAATCAAACTATAATTTATCAATTCGAACAATTTTTTAATGTTTGTTATCGACCTGACAATGTGCATCGAACCATCTTTGACGCTTCGGTCTCATTATCGAAAATGGTACAAAGGAACATCCGCTCAAAAAAGGTAATAAACCCTCGAGGTAAAACTGATTTCGAAAAGTTTTGTCCAAAACACATACCTCCTCTTCCGAATGCTCTCTTCGGTTTAGTTAAACATTTATCTCACCCTCCTTGGGTGAAAACCCTCGATCCGTTTTACCTCGAGCGCAAAGAGATTCCTGTAAAGAATCGAGTTACCTATGCGAGATGTTCCGTGTATGATTTTCCTCGAAGCAAATGGTGGCCACTATGTTGGGTCAATAACGTTAACCCTCCTCCTGGTAAATGTCTTTCACCACTCTTCTTCGATTTTGATTTGAACTTGTCTCATCTCTTTCTTCGAATTTTGCAGCTGCCATTCCTCAACGTGTTCCACAACATGTTGAGCAAACTCCTAATTGGGAGAGTGAGGATGATGAAGATAAGGAGACATCAAAGAAAGGTCGAAAAAGAAAGACCGCTGCTGACAAAGTTTCTTTACATTCTAAGGTACCATTCACTTCGATTTCACTCTTTACTAAAACTTTTCGATTGTTTCATCTTACCTTTTCAAGATTTTACCTTACAGAGTATTGAAACCTCAAAGAAACAAAAAGTGAGCTCAGACAGTACCAAAACTGTAAGTGAATCAACCCAAATACCAATGTTACTCTCTTGCTCACATTTCTTAATAATACAATTGTCCTCACTTTCAGGTCTCGACCACTAAAAAGCAGGATAAAGGGAAAGGAAAGATGGTAGTTTCTATTTCCAAGAAAGCCCAGAAGCCTCCGACTGTGAAGCTTCTCCGAGATGCAATGAAATCGGTGTCAAAGGTAAGTTAATTTTTCTCGATTTCATTTTCCTTTTGCCATTGACTTCTCTAACACCTCTTTTTTATTGCAGGATGTTGAAGTCATCCAACTTGATTCTTCTCACGATGTGTCGAGAGATGTGCCTCTTGTTACCGGGACAACCCAACAGGTTCACTTTTCATTTTTCTATTTGGTCTCTCTCCCAAAACCTTATCCTAACCTTGTGATTTACTTGCAGTTAACCAACCCTCAACTAGATGTTGCTACGATGGCTTCAGTTTTGGCCTCGACAGAGGTCCCTCCTCAGGTTAAAGAAGACAAGGTTCCCCAATCGGAACCTCTGGTGAATGAGGAGCCTAAGCAAGAGTCTGCCCAAGGTGAAGATTCTATCACGCTCCAACCCCCCTTGAGTCCAAACAAGGGTATATTTCTTTTAACTTCACACCCTTATTGTGATTCTGAACAAAATTATCTTATATATCTATTGTCTCTTTTTGTATAGATTCGACCGAGTCTCCAAGACCCTTCACAACTTCTCCCTCAACCCAAAAGGGTACTACCTCTTCCATCCAGGGCCTTTCATCAATATTCATTGTTATTCATTTGCGACTTTTTACAACTTAAAAACAATCCATTGATATTAAAAAATAGAAATTTTAAAGGATTGTTGTATTAGAGGAATTTTGAAGGATTATTTAGTGGTATCTATAAATACTAAATTTATAAAATAATCTCATCCAAATTCATCATATTTTAGAGGATTGTTTGAAGTGACTTTTCAAGTGCTTCAAGAATTTTCAAATGAGTTTTTTTATGAATAAATTTGCAAGGAACTTAGTATTAGATATCCTACACAACTCATCAACACATTTTTTTCTTTAAAGTAATAAAAGAATTAACTTTTGAGATCAGCATAGAAGTTGTAGATAATTGTCTTATCTTCACTACAAAAATGTTTCGTTTTAGAGTCATCCAAAAGCCGACTCTAAATAATAAAAACCAAAATAATGTTGTCGGTCATTTGTCAGCTTTTGGCTGACGCTAAATAAGTCGACACAATTATTTTTTGTGACGGCTAAGTCGCTGGTAACAATTTTATTTATTTTAATTTTTTATTGTTGGTTAAGCTGACATTAGGTCGACACAAAATTTATTTTATTTTTTTCTTCATCTTCTTTTTTCAATTTATCATTTATTCATTTATAATTTTAGCATTACCGAGACTCGATCTTGGAACCTTAACGTGTTAAGGGAACTTGATAACCAACTGCACCATCATACATTAGGCGTATATAAGATTCAAAAAATCATCTTTATCTCTCTCAAAGCACGTATACTGTAAAAAAAATCAACATTATTCTTTAGAAATAGTGTCGATTTTTCTAACGCTAAATTTAAATTGAGTTTAGTGTTAGAAAAACCGACGCTATATTTAAAAATTAGTGTCGACTTTTCCGACACTAAACTCAATTTAAATTTAGTGTTGAAAAAGCCAACACTACATCTTAAAATAGAGTCGGATTTTCTGACAATATTTACGTCAGCTATTAGCCGACGCTTATTTTCTACAGTTATTTCGTTGTATTCTTGTAGTGCTTCCTAATAAAATTATGAATCAACTTGATAGCAAATACATATAGCTCTAGATACTTTGTTTGGACCACATAAGATTTTTAATTGGCATTAGAGCTAGTCATTAAGTTTATTAAATGCTGATAAATTTTTTTACAATTTATAAAAAAAAACATTTGAATTTTAAAAGGCCAAAAAGTTTATGAGGTTTTTAATCGGCATTAGAGTCATTAAGTTTATTAAATGCTGATAAATTTTTTTACAATTAATAAAAAACATTTGAATTTTAAAAGGCCAAAAAGTTCTAAAAACATAGGTTCAAACTACGTAGTCTTGAGCAGAATTTTTTTTTTCTTTTTGCAAACTATTATACCTTTTATAATATTATAGATACATATATAGATAAGATAATGAGAAGAAAAGAGAAAATGTATCTCCATTTTCTTGAAATTTTTTATACATGTTAATAACGCAATTTACATAAAGTAAATATGAAGTTGATCTCGTTAATTGCATCTTTAAATTTATTAAATATTAATAAATTTGCAAGTAACTTAATATTACACGTAACACAACCCATCGTAAACAGTAACCACTAATAATTAAGCTTATTATTGTAGAATTTTACCTATATAAACAAGACTAGTGAAACACATGGTAGCAATCAAAAATAAAAGGAAACAACAATGGGTTCTAATTATGGAGAGGAAAACAATGCATGGATCTCTGCAATGAATCATTTGCTTGGAACAGTATATTCTGCGGTATTGAAAGTTGCCCTTGAACTCAACTTGTTTGAGATCATAGCAAAGGCATCAGCAGTTGGTGTCTCAGCATCTGATGTTGCTTCAGAACTTCCAACACAACACCCAGAATTGCCTCGCAGGCTTGACCGCATATTGTGTCTATTAGCGAGTAACTCTCTTCTTATTTGTTCCACTCGTACAAATGAAGATGGTCACGTTGAAAGGCTTTACCAGCTATCCCCTGTTGGTAAATACTTCGTCAAAGATGAAATTAACGGTTCTTTGGCTTTCCTAGCAACTTTCTTCCAGCACCGAGTAAGCGTAGATGTCTTGTAAGTAACACAATTGCATAATATTTTCTCTCTTTTTTAGTAAATAAATAAATATTCCTTTTTCATTTTCTCAATGAATTGTTCTCTCAAATTAGAGCTTGTTTGGTTCTCAAGATCACCTTTCGTTAATATTTATTAATAAAGTTACACCTATAAACTCATATCTCTTCTATGATAATAGGGTATTATTTGATTTTGATGACGTTGTTGTGTTTTATGTTAGCCTTGATTTTAAGGAGATACTTCTGGACTTTGACAAGGGATTATTCGAGAAAGTTCACGGAGTGCCTTTTTTTGAACACATACAGTTAAATCCGACTTTGAATAATGTTTTTCATAAGGCAATGTCTGATCTATGTATAATTGAGATGAACAAGATACTTGAAACATATGAAGGATTTGAAGAAATATCGTTGCTAGTTGATGTGGGTGGTGGCATTGGCCAAAATTTGAATATGATAATCTCTAAGTATCCTTCTATAAATGGTATTAACTTTGATCTACCCCATGTCATACAAAATGCTCCAATTTATTCAGGTATATTTATTGTGTATGAATTTTGTCTAGCTAGTTGGCTATGTTTTAAGTAACTTTAATGCATATATTATTTTTTATTTACTTTGCTAATGAGTGAAATATATCAAATTCTGTGAAGGGATAAAGCACCTAGAAGGAGACATGTTTAAAAGTGTTCCTAAAGGTGATGCTATAATATTGAAGGTTAGTGATCTAAACTCTATCTTTACCCACTTATCTATGAGGTCATGTATAATATTAATAATGATCAAATTCAAATTTATCTAGTACTATAAAGTTGTGTTACATAAGTTATTGACACGTGGTTGCTTAATCATTGCAGACCGTATTGCACAATTGGTCGGATGAAAAATGTATAAAAATTTTGAGTAATTGCTACGAAGCTTTGCCACAAAATGGGAAGGTAATCGTCATAGAGGTCATAGTTCCTGAAGCAATTCACTCTACCGATTTAGATAAAATGGTAACTGGCTTTGACAACGTGATGTTGCTGAATGGGGGGACCGAAAGAACGGAGAAACAATTTGAGAATTTATGCAACCATTCAGGATTTTCTCATTTTCAAGTAGCTACTCGTGTTTTCTCTACTCTGGCAGTGATTGAGTTTCGTAAGTGAATAATAGTAAGTTTAGGATCATAAACCTTGATTGACTGTATATTACTGATGATGCAGTCACCATGCACTTATTAATATTTGTGCAAATAAATGTTATGGAATAAATGGTCCAGTTATAATTATAAAAACTTTCTATATATATCACACTTTGGTTGGAATGTGTGATTTGCAACTTGTGTTGATTGTGGTGGTGAATTTCATTATTGTTTCCCGGGAGATTAGGCGGTGTTGGAAGCAATGTATGTGTATTAACTCACATGTTTCCAGGTATCTCATGTTTTTTAGAGGGTAATAAGTATGGAGACAAGTAGGACATGTTAGTTAATTATGACTTGCATCATCACGTTAATTTTCACTATGGGATTTGTTGCCTCCTTTTGTTTGGGAAGCTTTCTTTTGTAATCTTTATATATGGTTACCAAGATACCATTTTATGGCTAAATTCTATTTTATTTCCTGAGTTTTGGTTTATTCTTCCATGTTTATTTGTCTCTCTTTTTTCTTATCTATTTAATAATTTTGGGTGCTGTTGGTGTAAAAAAAAAATACTTTTGGGTGTTTGATAGGTTTTAAGAATTGAGTTTAACCCCTCAGGCAAACATACATAACAATGGGTGGGGATCAATCCCATTATCCAACAAATAACCCACACCTCAGAGTAAGGTTTTCACTGTTCTTTTACCTTGATGGTTGCCAAACTCCATATGTAGATCTCTGAGATCATCTTTGGTTCTCCCTATTCAATGATAGGCAAAAAGATGAAAATCCTCAAAAGAATAACTTTCATTGTGAAACATTTTTTCTCCAACTCTAGTTATCTTTTTGACGATCCAACCATTGAAAACATAGAATAATGTTCTACAAATTAGTTATCCAAAATTCAGCTTGATCCAACAGTGAACAAAACTTTGGTTGGAATTATAAAATCGCTACATAGTAGATATGCAAATTGAACAATCAATTTCCTATATTCTTTTTTCTCGTGTTTTGTTGTTGTTCTCTCTCAATGACAAGTCACTCTCTCCTATTTAAAGCACAAAGATACATGTTAATTATGAGAGGTAACCCTAGACTACTACTCTATAAATAGAGAACACGAAACCCTGACCCTCGCATAATCTATCGATAAAAGTTTGTTAATTCGTTGTTGGTTACTTCCCTTTTGAAATTCAAATAATTACTTATTATAATTAACTAGAAAATATTCTTTTTATCACTAATTTTTTTTTATCAAAAGAATCCCAATTAATTAATTCAAAACCTTATATATAAATACATAAGATAATATTTTTTCAAATAAATAATTTTGAAATCTTTATTTTCATTCACATACATAAGATAATATCTATTCAAATAATATAATTTTGAAATCCTTATTTTTCTTATCTTAAAACATTCTTATCTATAAAACTTCTCAATCAATCAAAACCATAATATACAATCAAAATACGTAAAAACAAATATAATCTGTTTATTATATCTCTAATAATTAATATAATAAATAATTTCACAAATATTCCTTTTATTAATAAAAACACTCATAATTATTTAAAAATATATTTAATGCAATTATATATTTAATTAATTAAAATATTCTTTTAATAATTTTAGAAAATTTAGGATGTTACACTAGTTCCTCTTCGTGTCACTTTTGCTACCTTTCACTTTTCTCATGTCACTGTTGTAGCTCTCTCTACAATTTTTCCAACATGCGAGTGTTATCTGGTGTCTCTTGATTTTGGCTCAATGATATGCTTGTTCTCGCCATCTACTTGTCAATAAAGACAATATGAATAATTTTTCTATGGCTCCACGATGGACACCAAATGTACTTGTTGGAAAAAGTACTTGTTTAAAGTCCTTGGAAGTCTTCAGTTTTTTGGATTGGTGATTGTACTTGCAAAAGGGACTCTAATGCCAAAGTCAACGATAATCATAGTGTATATGTGTAATCTCAAGAATCAGTGTACCTTTTGAAGGTGAAATGCAAGTGTATGTATAGGAGAAAAGGTGTTACCATTAATTGATGTGACATTTAAGTGCATTCAAGATCTTTTATTATCATGTAATAGTTAAATGTTACCATTTGCTAAACTTAACCACAAAGCTAGAGTCCTCAAGTTGTCAAGGACTATGCAAATTGGGAGTGATCTTGATGGAAACCTACTCCCCAAGGATCCCTTTGGAAGAAATAAGACCAATAAGGGTAAAGAATGATAAAGTTAGTTTGAAGAATTGTAGGGTACTTACCCTTATTTTGTAGAGTACCTTACATTTGAAGGCTTATCCTACTTCAAAGGACTCCTATTGTTGTTATACATTTTCTTTACTTGTAATTCATTTTAGTAGTAATTGTATTAGGATATTTGATCTTGTATTTTGGGTCAAGTAGTGTAGGTAATTTTATCCTTGTATTACTTGAGGGTGTAATTAGTAGACTAGGGGAGGTTTAAATAGTAAAGTCTTCTTAGACTTATTTGGGCTTGGATGACCCTAACCATTTTTATGGCCCATAGATTTGGACGTCCATTTGCTCATGCAAGTGGTTTGGACGTCCAAATCATGTCAAGCTTGCCATCTAAGCTACAAATTAAGTCACATGGCTTTGATAGTGATATCTCAACAAACTTGTTAAAAGTAATAATTAGTCTAGTAGTTGTAATGATTAGGTTAGGTAGTTGACATTAACTTAAGCTAACTTAGGTTATTCTTAAACTAGGATTAGCTTAGCTTGCTCTATAAGCTTCTAAAAACTAACTAAGCTTGTAGACTGTTGAGATTTTCGTTGAAGTTACTTTTGTTATCATTGTAAATCATTTTAATTCTATCAACGGACTCAAACACGGCAAGTATACCGACCATTCAAATAGTAAATTATATCGTATCCACAGGAGCTAGTAGGTAAAATAAGCATTTATTGACTATTCATGACTAAAGAATAATTCCATTTTCATAGATTGTCATGCAATTCAAATAAAAGTTATGACCTATGGAATGTTAAAACTATAAAATTGGTTGTTTTGTGTGTGGAAAGGGTAGAAATGGTATTGTAATTTTATAAGATTGTGGGGTTAGATATCACCGAACTATACACTGATGAATATTTAATCTCTTGTTACATTCACTGCTTAGTCAACCCATAAGTTTACTCAAACCTAATCAAGAGCCTAGGTGCGAATAGTGAATATGAATTCCTTGAGTATCCAATACCTACACCCGCATTACGGGTTAGGGTTTAAGACTACTAATGGGTCAAGCTCTATCCCTAGATACATTTCCTACTAGGCATTTGTTTCAGAGCTAGTTTCAATGGTTATTTTCCAATACCCAATGGAACCTATATCATGCAATGAGATTAAATCCAAAGCAAGCATTAAGAATAGAAACATACACAACAATGAATGAAACAACATGTATATATAATATATATATATCATCAAAAACGTAAAGATTACATAAGAGTATCGTTGGTTACATCTAACCCCACAAAATAATGGGTAGAACCGCTCAAAACAATAAGGGTGAAACAAAAATAGAGATGGAAGAGATATGGAAGAACCGAAGGAAAGACCCACACATGAACGGTCCCAAGCACCGGGAATCCCTTCCTCAGCTCCTAGGAGCCGCCCAATGTGTAAATGAGGGAAAAATCCTCGAAGTCTTGCTCAAGACACGCCCGGTGCAATTACTTTTAAGTCGGGCGCGATGTCTTCTAGAGAGTTTAGGTTGCTCTTTGTCTCAAGCACGCCTGGTGCATCTCTCTTGCGCCCGGCGTAGTTCTGAATAACAGAGAGTGTGCTTCTCTATTTTGCTCATGCCCGGCACGGGTAGTCTTGCGCTCGGCGCAGGTACTCTTCTCCTGCTCCTTAGCTCCTTTAAGTTCCAAGCCAATGGGTCTTCAACCTTCAACTCTTCACTCAATACCTGCACAAAAAAAGAGGTGTATCAGGGTATTGTTAGATGAGATTGGGTTAGCTACATCTGCACAAAAATTGAATCAAAAAGAGAATAATTATCTTGCAAGAGTGCTTTGAATGAGTGGAATTGTTCAATAAGTCTTATCTAAAAAGAAGTATAATTGAGACTTAACATAGACATTTTAACTAGGGTTAGTTAGCTTAAGTACAAGATAGCTAACCATGGTTATACTTAACCATGGTTAGTATAGCTTGCACCAAAAGCCAACTAAACTCTATATATTGTAATTTTTACCCATTTTGTAGGAACTTTTAAGCATATATTTGAGTTTGGTTGATACTTCTCTCAATTTCTCTCTCTTAAAAGCTTAAATTCTCTCTTTGACTTACTTCCAATTCTCTTATCCTCTTTTTAAGAGTGTGGTGAGATTTGAATTTGTTTATCTTCTTCCTTGAAGTGGCACCACTTGAAGAGAGTTCTTCACCATTGGGTCTAGAGGTTTCCTCTATCATTAGAGAACTTGAAGAAGCTTAGGAAGTGTCAAAAATGCAAAGTATTAGGAAGAATCTTAAATGAGAAAATTCATCAATCAAGTCTCTCCTTGAGGTTTCTATCAGATCTCTTTCGAGCAAGTTGACTAGTCTTCAAACTCCTCTAGTATGCAACTAAATATCAACCTTATGTAACTAGGTTTAATGGTTTAGAGTCAACATGTCCTCGACAAAAGAATTTATAATATTTTTGGTACACAGATAAATATGATATTTGAGTCTATAAATTATATTTAAAATTTATATAAGTAAATATATTTTAAACATATAAATTATGTCAAATTTAAAATAACTAACCTATGTTACAATACAATATTATTTTTAATTATTTTTGCCTTCTTTATCTTTGTCATTGGATACAGACTATTTAGTTATAGAATGTGATGGATGTGATTAGGATGGGGAGCCATCTTAAAGAAAAAGAAGAATAAATATAAAAATATTTCTAAAGAACAAATTTGTAGATATGCTTCAAAAAAATACCATACAAAACCTCAAGTTTATTCTACTTCCATAGATTATGAGGTAAACGCTGTTATAAATGGTTTAAAAGATTTTGAACTAGTTTTGATAAATAAAAGTAAAATTATAATAAAAAAAATGATTGTGAAGTAATAGTTGCTTATGGTAATTCTCAGATAAATTCTGACAAA